GTATGGCCCCGCTTCTTTCACAAACACGGACCCTCGTGCTTTCTTCCACAAGCGCAGCAAGGACGAGGGTCCGCGTTTGTGGAAGGGGGGCCATACGGGATGTACTCGACGCCCGACGCGATGGTGCAAGAATGAACGCAAGCGTCTTTTGAGTGGTCTATCCCAGATCGGAATTTCTGCGGGAAGCGTTGTGTAGGGTCTGCGTTTGTGGAAGGGGGACTGTACGGGATGTGTACTCGACGCCCGACGCAACGGTGAAAGAGCTTCCGCAGGTGACATTAGGTTGTACACCCGCTGGACCGATATCCAAACCTCGATTGCCCGACTTCTAAGGAGGTGTTGGCGTTGGTACCGCCTCATCTAAAGTACCCCGAAAACATGTCGTCTGATGGTGGCACCCATCGTGCTTTATAGATTTGATACAGGGGGTGTGATATATTATGTCACCTACGGAATACTAGCTGTATAGCAGCAGCAGCAGCAGCAGCTCCTGACCCCGTGCCTTGTCACGAGCCGTGTGGACAGTTACCGTTGCAAGTGAGAGTGGTCGCTTCTTAGCTGCACCGCCAACACCTGGGTCGATTGTCGTCTGTAAGCGCTCGTATGTCTGGCGCAGGATCGACAATACAGGCAGCACCTGCATAACGAAACCGCGAAAGTGGCACGACAACGGCGACAGCGATGGTGGTGGCGGCGTGCGCACCCCCACGCGTCCGCCTCTTGGCCGTATGAGTTTTGGCATCGCGAAGAACGAAAGAAAAAAAAAGACCATGCGCATCAGCAGACGGTGCTCATCCCACGATGCCGACCCGACGTGTCTTGCGCTTGACCAATCACAAACCCCGACTCCTTTGGTTGCAGCAGCAGCAGGCGCAGCAGCGGCGGCCGCATCACGAGGAGGCGGCGGGGGCGGTGGGGGTAGCGGCGATCGAAGAGGCCGGCGTGTCGCGCTGCCAGAGCAGTTTCTGCGGACACCCGGCTGGACGGGCGGGGGCGCGGGCGAGGTGTCGAGCGATCCGCAGGTAGCGGCGGACGCTAAGCTTGCCATGATGCTGCAGGTGGGTTAATAGTACTGTGGTGGTGTTCTGGGTGTGTTTGCTTTTGTGCACCGGGCGTCGCGCCTTTTTGTTTTTTTTTGTTGGTGCGCGCGTTTCTTGTCCCTTGTTTGCTACCTACCACCGCTGCCCTCCGCTCCTTTTGTTGTTGTTGTTGTTGTTGTTGTTGCGTTGCTCTTGCTTGCATTTTCTAGGCGCCTTTACTCCTCTCTTCGATTTCCCCTCGAGACAACATCCGAAGCAGAACTGCTGTTGCATGGGTTTATTCTTTTGCGTGCTTTTGTTTCGGCTTGGTTCACCACACCTCCCGTCTATACATATTCCGCTGATGATTCGCCTCAAACATAGACCCGTTGCGAATGGTACGAGTTCAAACCCATTTACGTTCCCTATTGAACCTGCGAAACATCATAAAATCATTTTCGTTCTTTTTCACTCTCGCGTGCCTCCGATCGCTGCGCAAGTGGTCCCGGGAACTCTCGAGTCGTTTATTCGCCATCCGCGCGCTTGCGCTTTTTTTACATAATGTGACCCCCCAACCCCGCGCGTGCTTGTGTTTGCGTTTCTGGCAGAATGAAGCATTTCAGCGCGAGCTCCAATCGCACCCGGACTTGGCCTACCTGGGGAGGGGTTCACGAAGTGGCGATAGCCGAGGTGAGCAGATAGGTGAGCATGGATGGCGCAGAAATGTGGTGTGCGAGTAGGTGAACGCGCTACGGCGGAGTCTCGCATCATGAGGGGATACATGGCGTAGTGGCGGCACCCGAGGTCAAGCAAATAGGCAAGGATGGGGTGCCGCAGAATAGTGTCGTAGTGGAACGCATAGGTGAGCGAGTATCGGCGAGACCAACCCCGCACCATGACGGGTGACGGGATTATTAGCACCTGTTGTCTCTTGGTCGCCAAGCCCGCACCAGGACGCTTTGGCCGCAAGGCATCTGAACACGGGGCACAAGGCAGTCCGTATACTTATCTCTCTCGTCCCCCTTGTCTCTCTCTTTTGCTTGAAGGGAATGCGTTCGGCATGGGTGGGGACGGACCGAGCATTAAGGAGCAGATGACCTCCATGGGAAACGGTGAGAATGCGTTACAGTACCTGTGCACGCGAGAGTCGTTGGCTAGCTGGCCCTGTGACGTTGGGACTTCTTTTATGGTACGGGACGATGGCACAAGCCTGCGTGGGTACCGTATACGACACAAGATAATACAACCCCCTGGACCGATCTTCAAAGCTCGATTACTCGACGACGAAGAGGATTCATAAACGAAACGATACGTTTTCGGGGAGCTCTCGACCAGACGGCTTCAACGCGGGCATTTTCGGCGCTGTGACTCTTTCTGCCGTTGAGAAATCGAGCGTTGAAAAACGGTCCTGGGGGTGTTTGATCTTGTGTCGTATACGGTATATAGGCTTGTTGGGATGGGGCACGCGAGGTCGGCAGCAGACCAGGAAGAAAGGGGGGAACTGATAAGGGGAGTGCGTCGCCCGCATGAATCTGATGCGTTATTGTGCCGAAAGCGCTCTGAATAACGCATTTTGCTTGGGGCGTGCATCATCTTGTACCTGACTTCACCGTAAGTAATGATGAGGATCTGCTTTCGCGAATCCGTTGGACGGGGAACGCCGGCCGATACGTGGAGATGCTGATGGGTGTGTGCCGACGAGAGGTGCTCACACGAAGAGCAGGGCATACCGTGGAAGTTATTTTTCACGGGAGACTCGATTGATTCTTTGACAGCGGTTGGGTAGAAGGGGTCGAGTTCGTGGTCAGGTTTCGAGGTTGTTGACGCCGCTCGCTGCTTGGGCCGCCACCGACGAACAAGTATGTGCAAATTGTACCGCACACAGACATCCGTCGCAAGGTGGACGAGTTGGCCGTGCGGTGGAAGATGAAGGACCCCGGGCGGGCTGACCAGACCACGGAGTACAGCTCGGTGCCGCTGATGAGCTCGGTCGATGACGATGCAGATGACCAGGTGCGGTGTGACTCATTTCGTTTCGTGATCTTTGGGTTTCAATGTCTACGTGTCTACGTGGATCAAAACGCCCGCCTGGTCGGTGCAAGCTCTACTTTGCGTGCCCGGACTGCTGTGTGTTTGTGTGTGCGCGTTTCTCGTTTCGTCTTGTTTTTTTTCCTATGTACGGAAAATCTCCGAATTGTGATAACCAGTGGGGGAAGCTGATCCATGGTCTGAGTAGAGATGACGGCCGTGCCTGATTCTGAAGACGCACATGCTTGAGCCAGTGCCGCACTCCAGGGGATTCCCCTGGACGGGTTGTTGTTGCAGGGTAGGAGGGGGGGAAAGTGGGGTATTTGCAGCTCAGAACCGCTTTCGGATCGGCGTCAAGACGATGCGGTGTAATGTATGGAAACAGCCAAGTTGTTTGCTTTTTCTGAGGTCATGCTGAAGCAAGTTGCCCAGCCTAAGAGGCGCGGAAATTCAGTGTTGTTGCGAAAATTCTGAGACGTAAGAAAAAAAAAGAGAGAACGGCTGCTGATTGGATGATGCGATAGTTCCATCCCTCGGTGAAGTGACAAACGAACTTCCCACCCAAGCCGCCTCTTGTCTAAAAAGCCCTCTATCAAATGTCCTTTCGAGTGACATTTCGACATTTGATAGGGATTGTAGACGACAAATGGAGGGAGCGTGGTAAACGGGGGAACGAAAACGAGGCTTTCAAGACATTCCCCTAGAGGAAAAGCGAGACCTTGTCAACCCAAGCCGTACAAGTAGGTTGCCCGGTGCCTCCTATCTTCGGTGGGCTAGGTACTTCTTCCGCGCTTGCTCCTTGTCGCGGTTTCCACCCAAGCGTAGACAGACGCGGCGCAACTTCGCCGTTGAACCCGCGGTATTGTCCCGCGCTTCGACCTGTCATTTACCCTCCTGCTCCTCCACTCTACAAAGCACCCACACTATTAGACTAGAGTCGTCCCTGTGTAACCCTGGCACCCCCCTGGTCGAGTAGTGTAAAGGAGGAGACGACCGTGACATTCTTGGCGAGGTAACGCAGGCGAAGAAGATGGGGACAAAAAGTGTTCCCGGGAGCCGATCTAGCTCTTGAGGGGTTATAACCGTTGCCATGGCATTCTCGTCGCGGCGTCTTTCTTTTCTCTGTCTCTTTCTAGGCTGAAGTCGTCCACTTCTCCCAGAACAACGCCACCCGCCGCAGTTCCTCGGGCGGCAGCGCCGCAGGCGTGGGGGTGTTTCGCGCCGATTCCGCAGGGGAGGAGCAGCTAGGTGAGAGTGGACAGGGAGACAGGCACATGCTTCCACATGTATCAGCAGAAGGTTTTGCGGTTCAGGGGGCGTTCTCTTTGGCGAACACTGGGGTTCAGGACTTGCCGCGCGCAGTATCGACAGAACGAAATAATGGGATCGGATATATTAGGTGACATGTACAAAGGTAATGTGTAGGTTAGACGCTACAGGGCATGCAGAGGAGTTGCATCTGCTGCTGGACGAAGGCCTACAGGCGGTGCCCAAATGAGCGCGACCGGGTTGGTAGCGGAGGAGAGAGGAGACCGCGTCCTTGATATGCCCTTCTTTTTCTTCCCGCAGTGTCGTAGCAACCCAAACTTTTTTCTCACCAATATGAGCACCCTCACTATTTAGCGCCTACGTGCTATCAACGATTGGGCCGCGCCTCCATCGTCGTCAGTACGCGTTTTTCCCTTCACCGTTTACTCTCACGGGTCTGACTCCCGATGACCCACCCTCGGCTGTATCGTTCGCGCTGTATACTTCTTGGGTTGCTTTTGGTACACCTTCCGCAGCCGACCCCCGGCGTGCCAACAAGAAGGACCGGTAACGGCTCGGGGGCGAGCTTGTTCTTCTTTTTCGGCCCCGCTCCCTCGACTCGGGGCGTGCCTCTAACACGGGGTGGCCGATTGTCCCAAGCCCTTCCGGGAACAGGCGGACCGGTAGAGGCAGAGCGTTCTTCGTTGGGCCTCCCTTCGTTCGGCGCTTTCTTGAAATATTTTGAGGGAGGGCAGAAGACTATCGGTGCTGGTTTACTCATCGTGTGTTGGTTTTTTGTTGCCGTGAGGTTGGTCGGAACGGCGGTTCCCGCGTTTTTGCGTTCGGAGTGGTGTAGGGAATGGTGATACATGCACCCCCGTAGGGGGTGCGAGGCACTCCTGTACCCCCCCCTCCCCTTCCCCGACATCGAGGGGGCTACCTCGCGACCCTGCGGCTGCTTTTGTTTGTGGCGTATGGGGGCACTTGATTTTGAATCAACATCGGGGAGCGCCACCGGTACAATACGCTGTTCTGAAGATGTTGCTTCGATTTTTTCCTTCTGTTCTCGTTGAGGTCTCTGATAGGGACGGTAGGGACTCTCGACTGCAATGATTTGGATGGATCCTCTGCACGGTATCGGCAGACGGGTTGCATCGGCGGCGCTTCACCTTGCTCATGGTGTTGTTTCTTGGGCGTGGTGCTGTGTAAGCGTATCCTGCCCTTTCGCAAAGGGTGTATGTAGCACGACAGCACGGGATTTTGTACGCTATGGTTGTAGCTGTTTCCCCCCACCAGTCGTTGAGGCGGTGGCTGGTTGTGTTTTCGCGTCGTTTGACAGGGCTACTGTACTGCTGTGTTTGTTTTTTATGAAGGACTTGTGTGTGAGAGGGATACGCATGGTGAAGTAGAGTAATGTTCTGAAGTCTCACAGAATGAGAAAATACGTCGTAATCGCGTTAGTCACCGTCCCGATTTGTCTCGAAACATAAGGCTTTATTCACATCCCACTCTTCATGAGCACCTCGCTGTGGCGTTGCGCCCAAAAAAAGAATGACACTGGCGCCTTCAACCTGCATGTCGGCGTTGCGCCAGTGTACTATTAACCCATGTTTTCCCGGCGGCAAACCAAACCGTGATACGTGGATGCACCGGCGAGGACCGCGCGAGGTTTTGTGCTTTCCTTATCTGTCCTCCGCGGTGTCAATATTTTTTTTCAAGGCGGGAATGAAAAACAGTACAACAGTTATTTCGAAGTTGTGGAACTTTTGTTGGCGCGGACGTAAGGAGATTATCCGGGAAAGCAGGCACATACTGTTGCACTAGAAGTGAGTCGCCTCGACCCCAGCCGGTCGGGTTCCAGTTGACTCTAGAAACCAATCATTTTTTTGGGAGCAAACAATAAGAAGAGGCTCATGAGACCTTCAGAAACTGTCCTTCGGGGACGACCCCCTCCTTCACACACTGACCAGAAGCAGATCCGTTTCTTCCCCGAGCAACGGAGTTCATGGGGGACTCATCCGCGTCAAAAACACGGTGACTCGGGTGCCTTCGAACCATGAAATCTCTGTACAGCGACGACCGTTCTTGACTTGCTGTACTGGAGTATGTAGTGTTGTGTTATTCACAAGCCCGATAGGGATTCAGTTCCTGCCGCCGAAATTCTCAGACCTATATTCGATTTTGACCCCATCAAAAAGTGACTCCCAAAAAGTGACCCCACTCCCTGTTATTCACTTGGTTTTAGAGTAGGTGTTCTCCGATCTCTTCTCTAAAAGCAAGTTGTTTTTCTTCGATCGGTGTTTCTCGAGATTCCATCAACAGATTTTTGTGTAGGTCGGAAGAGGTGTCCCTCCTGACCCCGTCCGCCCCCCCTGCAAATTTGTTGCAAAAGCTTGTGTCAGTTGTTGAGAAACAAACGCGTCCGTTGTTGTATGCCTATTCGTACATTGATCTCCGCCGTGCGAATGCGAAGAACCGAACCACACCCTCCCTCTCCTCTTTTTACTTCCGGGCTCAGAACCCCCACAGGTCGTCAACTGTGTACGCCGCACCCCACGGGGAAAATGCACGTCCACGGTTGGTTTCCTTTATCCTGCAGGTCGACGGAGAGTTTGGAAAAAAATGAAGAAGCGAGATATCGCTGTAGAAAATGCTGCTCGGGGAACCGTAGAAGCTGTACAAATTACATAGTTGGTCACCGTGCAACACTAGAAATTCATTGCTACTCTGCAGTATCACGGACTCTTATGTGTGGAAGAGATAGATTTGTTGTGCTCTTTGTTCGGCAAATATTTGATGTATACCGGGACAGAGGTGTTGGAGTGAATACCTACACTACGCGGGCGATCGCCCGCCAATAGTTTGTATATGCGTGAAATCCATTCGGGCCACGCTTTCAAAATGTTGCACCTCTCTGAATAAATGAAGGAAATGGGACACCAGGCAGAGCAGAGGTATCGTCACCGCGGCAGCAAAGAACGAAACCACCGTGCAGACATCCTGCCATGGCGAGGTTGTTCGACATACATACATGTACCAACGAGATGAGGAATGATGGTTGCATTGGGGCGTCCAGAGAACCGATGGAGTCAAGAGAGCGAAGAAGCACATAGTCAATAGATTTGCAGAGAGAGATGCGTAAGCAGCAGCATCATCATCACGTTGCTTGAAGTGATCTGGCGAGAGGACGAGCGTTCTCTCCAAAGAAAATACGAGTAATAGAGAAAATTGTTCACATCCGTATCCTGTGAAACCCCGAACCTTTTAAGTGACGCTTCAGACGATTTGACGCGGTGTCGGACAGTCCCGAATCAGGACGATGTCCGAAAACAGAAGTAGTCGATATCGAGGTACGCTGGTGGCACCATCTCGTTGCATGTTCCCGATCAGGCTTAGTCCTGCACGTTGAAAGTCGCTTGGGTGAACTCACAAAGTTCTGTGTAGGGAATGGTAGACACCAATGGAGCTACAGCTGGAAATCGTCGTCCAAATGCGGGAAGCGGAGGAAATGGCGGCGCTTCGCAGGCCAAACCGAGACATGCTGCTGTTGCCAAGCCCATCTCCAATTCAAAGGTGAGGCAAAAGGTCAAAGGCGAGCGATGGCATGGTAGCAACAGTTGGTTAAGCCTCTGTGTCACTCGTGGCCTGCTCTGCACCTTCTCCATATACAGGTGAGTAGACAAAAGGGTAACTGGTAAACTGCGGGTCTTCGCACAACTACATGTAGTTATGTATGTACACCAGTGCTTTTTTAGGCAGTGCTGTAGCTCCGCACACCCGATAGACCGGGCGAGGCAAAAGGTCTGGCGTGCCCCATGGACATAGTATTGGGTCGGCTTCTCTGAAGCCGTTGCGATTGCCGCAGAATGACATGTCGACGACACTTTTTGACATGGAACAATGCTAACAGGATTCCGACTCAAGTATTGCAAAGGCAGCGAATGCAGTTGTATGTGAAACTATGGGTGCTTTATGTACGTCCCAACAATACTGAAATATATCCAGTCTACAGTATTCATCAATACATATATGCAATTGACTGTGAACATAGAAGGACAAAAAACGAAACGAACATACCGTCCCCGACATCCTTTCGTATTGGTAGTCGGAAGTTGCGAGGCACCGAGTTTACAGTAAAGTGTTTTCCGGATAAAAATTGTTCGGGACAGCTCTACTTATGTAGAACGTTCGCCGACCGGTGTCGATATTGCATATTTGCAGCGCCCGGGGTGCGGCGCGTCCGCCTCGCCGATTGGCTGGAACTACATAGTTGGACAATAGATTGCTTCCACTATTGATGCGGAGTGAAGCAATAACACGATTAAGTACTGAAAACGATAGATTGAGTGAACTGGAGAATTCACAATCATTTAGCATACCATGCAAGACGCACACATCGACGCCCCACTCGCTGGCGCCTCAACCAAGAATGTTACAGCTGGGGGCGCGAAGGTCACAACAGTTGCTGGAGAGCACCACAGCTCGTCGAAGGAACCAGAAAACGTGACTATCCAGGCGGATCCCGCGACTTCTCTTGGACTGTCTTTCGCTACTGGCGGTGTTGTTCGGCAGGCAAGTCCGAGCATATCCATTGCATGAAGTGACTGAACACACCGCGTATCTACAATTCGACAGAACCTTTCCAGTTAAATGGTTACATCATTCCCTATGGTTCTCTATGAACAAGACATTCACGTACCCGGCACATAATTACGTGGTCACATCCTTGAAACGTAAAACGTTTTAGCAAGGCTCACAGACTCATATGTCGAAAAGACCTGGGCGATGGCAGGTGGTGCGGTATGAACGGCGTTAAGTACTGTAGTCCTACGTCAACCTAACTAACTATTTGGCCAAGAATGCAATGAACGAATTTTTTCAACGCTTTCCCGTACCGACACGGTGTGAGCATGCTCTATGTGACGCCATGTAGACACTACATATTGTGTACATAGCGACAAACCAAAGACACTGACCCGCTGTTCCATCTCTCCCGCCCCCTTTTTCACACCCGGCGCGCACATGAACAAGGTGGCGCCCAAAGGACAAGTGGCCGCTCTCGGCGTTCGTGAAGGCTGGCGGTTGACGAACATCGGCAAAAATGATTTTACGGTAACGGCGACGTCAACACCAAAGCACATTCTCGAAGCCCTCGCTGCTGCCCGCAAGAGGGGCACCACGTACACGCTTGGGTTTTCGACAGGGGGTGCAGATGAGGCACCGAACGGAGCAGTACGTGCCGAGGAACAATCAATTGTAGAGGCTTGTGACGGCAGTAGGGTGGACAATGCGGTCAGCGAGACAGCCGGTGGTGAGGCGGCTACGGCTGGGCCGGCGTCAGGGGGTGAAACAGGAAATAGTGACCAGGTGTGCGTGGAGGGCAAGGAACTAGAACAAGACCGGAAAAAGGGTGCCTCTGCCGGCGTGGAGATAGGCGAAAATGGTGAGACGAAGGAGACCGAAGGAAAAGGTGAAGGACAGGTCTTCGGCGGGAAAGATGTTCCATCCTGCAAGGCCGAGACGGGAAGAGGCGATGGAGAGGTGACGCTCATGTACGAGATGTACGACGAAAAGTTTCCCATTAAGGTAATTAAGTTGGCATAGCGTACACATGTGATGTACAGACCCTCTCAGAAAATTAAACATATGCCCATCAAAGTGGAAGGAATCAAGCGAGCCTTAATAAAATGTCCTTCCGACCATCAAACCGCCCCAATATTTCAAGGAGAGCTTGCTGCACATCCTTGTGGCGACGCGCGTTGTGCGCTATCTACAGAGCCTGTCGACATTTTCTTTTATTTGGGGCTGCCACAACTGTCCCTGTTCAATCACCTCAATATTTTATTGGGAAGGTTTACCATCTGATACTTTACCCAGAAAAAAAGACCGAACGCAAACCTTATGGCTCGCTCAACGTTCGTTCTTCAACAGGATGGTTCCATTAGTGCCGCCGAAATTGACGAGACCTACTGCCTGAGCTTCGTGATGCCGAACTGCACACTTCACCTTGGGCCGTTGGGCCCGGCGGACCGATATGCTCGAGAAAATGAAGGGGAGCTTGTGCCCTACCTTGAAGGTAAAGCGCTGCATCTCCTATACGTGGGAACACGTAACGTTAGACTTGTTAGCTGTTCGTATGTCCTACGTAGAGGAGGACCTTCGTATGACAGGTTTCCGAGAAAATAGACCGCTACACACCAGGAAACACTTGTGTAAATTGTTTAGCTTGAAGTGTTTCGTTCGAGGGTACAATCAGCAAAATACCTAATTGTTGTCCATTCCTAGCTGCGTTGTATGAAGGACTTGGAGGTACTTGTACCGACAAGAGCTTTCGAAAACGGTAAGGCACCCGGATTCTAACCCATAGCTACCACCGCCAAGAGTTACTTTTTTATTGCGTTTTTGTCCATGGAACGCAGGTAAGTCTCCGAGGCACATACATTTCGCTGTGCACCGCGAACCGGTTCCGCCTAGGATGATTGGTTTTGTTGTTGCAAATCTGTGCACAACCAAGGCAATCAAGCCAACAAAACGTTCTGTTTGCACCACCCTTTCGAGCTCCTGCGGCTTCCGGACGGTGCAACATCGAGAACCGTTTGCGTTGCCTGCGCGAGACTTTAGAATGCAAACAAAATAGGCTCAGAACAATATTATGGATTTAGTGCTTCATCCCCGTTCTTTCCGTTGCTCCAAGATACAGCTACAGAGTACCTACCGTGACTTTTCCCTCTTGACTGAAGAGCTTCGATCCGGGGTCGCACAGAATAATTCCTCTACCACGGTGGCACATGTCAGCAATTCCTCGACGAGCTCAGTCGTCATTGCCTCAATGTATGAATGCACGACACGTTTTTGAAATATTCAGCCTCTACCTGTACGCCATGAAGTTGGGCGCAGATCGCGGGGGATTAGCGGGATATGCCAAACTTGAGGTCGCAGTTCCAGTGCCATCCCCGTCATAACCTCTTCCTCTGTACCACCGTTGCATGATTCCGCTAGAGAATCCTTCAGGAACATTTCACGGGCTGGAGGACGGGGAGGTTTATTGGGTGTACGTTTCAAGGGATGACGAGGAGGAGAAGCAAGACAGAGAGAGGATGAAACAGGCAAGAGCCCGCTTCAGCGTTCTCTGGTGCAGCCCTACTACAGTACACTGCAGTGACGGAGTAGAAATATGGCAATACAAACGGTCGAGGACCTTTCATGAGCTGGATAGACAACACCAGGTAACCTACACACAGATAGGCGGCCGGGAGAAAGGGCCTGCGCGACAAGCTGCAGTGAAATTCAAGAATGATTCCATGTTGAAGTGCCTGGGTAGAGTGAACGGCTCCAAGGTTGAGACAAGGATATATCAATGTGCCTATGAAAACGAACCCCATCATCGAAGCCGGGCAAACGACGGCGTCCACTCGAAAAATTCCTAACCATGTCGTAAGACGCTGGGCAGTGGAATCAAGACGCGACGACAATGAAGTAAAATCTATATCGACCTTCCTGCCATTCCTCAAGTTCGGCCATCTGTGCATCGAAACCTACTCAAACATCGCCGATAATAATTGATAATAGCCATACTTTTTTTTCCCAAAGTATATTTGGAACTCAAGGTCATGCAGTCGCTGCGCAAAGCCCAAGGCCCCACCTGACAAGGTAGCATTCCGCAGCGCTTGTAAAGAAATCGGGGTTCGTTTTTCATAATGAGGCACACACGTAAATATTTTCTTCATCATTGTAGCGAATTTCGGATAAGAAATAAATCAGGATGCTGGGAAGTTTCAGATTTCGGAATAACGAATCTTGGGGAAAATGTTTTGTTTTCGTCAGCGCACGGAATTTAACGTGGGCCGGTGCGGCACAAAAAAAAAACGGTTCTATAAGAACAGCTTGGGGCGTCGAAGCAACACACACCTCCCCAGGCGCGGTGCTGTGCATTCTGCACCACCAAAAAGACAGGTTGTTGATGAGGAGATTGACATATCATATGCTCTGTCTTGTGAATATAGTGCTGACCACAGTTTACACGAGCACATGGCTCTGCATGCACTGTGCAAGATAGGAGGAGCCAAGATTGCTTGAAAGGAAAGGGCAGGCGAGGCAAGGCCGAGGATAGCACTATGGTTCCTCGAGGACATATCTTTCTGTTCTCAACCGATTGAAAAGTCACTGGTTCACTCGAATAAACGCCGCGGCATTTGAGTGAAACGATTCCGACGAGAGACCGAACACCACAACAACCAACCAGGTGGTGCAAGGCATGAAGCAAGACTTACCAGAAGACGGTGAATTCGTCAACCGGAAAGACGACGGGCGGAACGGTCTCGAGAGTTGCAGTTGCGTGTATGGTAACCCTTGCGTTGACGAATATGGCTGCAAGGACTGGCATTCACGCTATGCAGTGGCAAAGGCGAATGGATGGAAGGGCTTCTAGCACCAGCGTTGTGGGCCACCTTGTTCCTCCATGTAGGCAATGTGGAGGACAACGTGGTAGATTTCATCGACAGCAAGTCGCTCTGTGCAACGCCGCTTGGCGCTTTTACCAAGTTGACGAATTCGAAAGCGGTGAACATGAAGAGCTTGGTGAGTTCAAGATGACCAATACCCTGCTGCTGACGTTGAGCATATTTTCTGGGAGATATTCGCGACGGAAGAAGTGTTGTTGGCTCGTTTGGAGTGTCTCTAAGAAAGGAAATGTTGTAAGATGTATCTGCTCTCCAATACGCTGAACCTTCGCAAGTGGTTACTGTAGTTCACTTCATACATGGCAGCGATTCAAAACAAATACGAAAGCGAATGAAACCGATGTATTGGATTGCAGCTAGTGGCGTTTAGAACGAGAGGGGGTGGAGACGAACATCGCGTTATGCCCAGAGCAAAACCGATTGCCCTTGGCAAGCAACAATCGGACCTATCGGGTCGGCCCCAGCGCATTTATTTGTCGTGCGTGGCATGGACGAAGTGGCAGAACAATATATATAGATACGGTACGTTTCATACCACAAAGACCACACCCTGCCGAGCCATACTTCGATGAGGGGTGCTCGATGAGGCGGCTGTTTGTCGCACGCCACTTGGCGAAGCTGCGCATACCCAAGTGTGAGAATTCGTCCCATCTATCTGGAGCCAGCCTACACACCTTTTGGAATCTTTGACACACCAGTCAGAGTCAAGCAAGGATGGTGACACAGCAGCGTTGCAGATTTGGATTTTTTGTTTGGCCTCATCTTTCCTCTGCAGCGTTTTCCTCATTATATTTTCTTCATCGATTGTGAAGTCATACGTATTCTGGAGTGAACCATTATCCACGATAATGAGAGACTCATCTCACTCCACAGAGAGAGAGATCCGCACCCAACTTGCTGCTACAATGCACACGAGCGTGACTGCTAGATCACTGGGGGCGATCGGTCTAACTGGGCTAATCGTATTCAGGAAGAGTTCAACAATCGACGCTTGCCCGCCAAAAGGCGCTGAGCCCTTCACTACAGCATAATTGTTGGGTCGTCTGTCCAACATAGCCCTACGACGTATACACCTCAAAGCCCATGGACGCAATAAATGAGCCCTGCCGTGCGTGCAATAACACGACACACGTCGATCGGGACTCCAATCATGGTCCCAGTTGTTGGCTGTCTTCATTTCTATATATATCGCCCTCAGTTTCACTCGTTTCCCTTGAGTTCATTCACTTCCTCTCATACCGCGTTTTGCTTCAATTGTTGCAATGTTGTGCCCGTGATTTTAACACCTCTCACACCGCCCTTGGTTTCAATTGCTCTTAGACCACCCTTGGTTTCAGTTGGTTGCCCTTGGTTCCACTTGCTTCCATACCGCCCTTGGTTTCGATTCGTTTCCCTTGGTTTCTATTGCTCTCATACCGCCCATGGGTTGCAACTTGTTGCCCTTGGTTTCAATTCCTCCCATGCGGTCCATATAGGGCTAGTATCTCGCCTTTGCATTCACTCGCTCCTATAGAGTGCATGGTGTCCATTTGGTGCCGCTCGTTTCACTTGTTTTCATATTGCTCATAATGTCAATAGCTCTGATGTCGCCCTTGGTTTAATCTGCTGCGACACGGGTCGCGGCGTCCTTGGTTTCAACTTGGTACCACATTTTGCACTTGTTCTTGTACCGGCCTTGGTTTCAATAGTTTGGGCACGGTTGCCCTTAGGTTCACTTGCTCTAATATCGTCCTCGGGAAGGTGAAATCCTGCTCGCAACATCACAAACAAGGCACGCACCGCAGGAAAGACGGGCTGGCATCTTGGGTGGCCTGCCCCCTGTATGATGGACCCCGCTGGCTGGTACGTCCACGGTGTTCAATTGTTGCGAAACGGCTCGAGGCGTTCTTCGTTTCACATTGGCACCCTTGATTTCAATTGCTCTCATTCCGACCTTGGATTGGACTGGGTGCCCCTGATTTCACTTCCTCTCATGCCGACCTTGGTGTCAATTTGGTGTCTTGGGTGTCACGTGTTCTCATACTTCCCTCGGCCTCATTTGCGACGAGACGGGCCATGGCGTCCTTGGATTAAGTTTGGCTCCCCCTTCGCTTCGCTTTCTTTTCTACGACCCTTAGTTTCACTTGCTGCAAAATACCGTCCTTGGTATGGGTTTGTTGCCTTGGTGTCGCTGGCTCTCATACTGCCGTTGTGGTTTGAATTGCTGCGACACGGTTGCCCTTGGTTGAATGTGCTCTCGTCCCACCCTTGGTTTCAATCGCTCTCATTCCATTCTTGGTTTCAACTTGTTGCCCTTGGTTGCTTGCTCTCATGCCGCTCTTGATTTTATTTGTTGCGACACGAGTCGCGGCGTTCTTCGTTTCGCATTGGCGAACTTTGTTTCACTTGCTCTCACACAATTATTGGATTCAAATCGTTGCCCTTGGGTTGCTCTGACACACCGTGCTTAGTTTCAATTTGGTGCCCTTGGTTTCACTTCCTCATTGTTGCCCTTGGATTTAATTGCTCTCACAACGCCCTTAGGGCCAATTTTGAGCCCTTGGTTTCACGTGCTCTCATTCCGCCCTTGGTTTCAATTGTTGAGACACAGGTCGCGGCGTTATTGGTTTCAACTCGGCACCCTTGACTTCATTTGCCCTCATTTCGACCTTGATTTCAACAACTCTCATACGCTCTTCCGTTTCAATCTGTTGCCCTGGTTTCACGTGCTCTCATACCGCCCTTCGTTTCAACTACTGCGACAGGGGTCGCGATGTCATTGGTTTCAATTTGGCGCCCTTGGTTTCACTTGCCTCTACCTTCCTTGGGTTCGGATTGTTGCCGTTGGCTTCACGTGCTCTCATTCCGCGCTTGGCTTCAACTTGGTGCCCTTGGTTTCACTTGCTCTCATGCCACCGTTGGTTTCAAGTTGTTTTCCTTGGATGGAAATTGTTGCCTTTGGTTTCAATTTGTCGCGCTGTGTTCAATGTGTTGCCTCTTTGATTCAAGTAGTGTGACACAGGTCACAGCCTCCTCTTCGGATGTTCTGCCCTTGACTACATACAACTGCTCGCATATCGCCCTTCGTTTCAAGCTGTTGCCCTGGTTTCACTTGATCTCAACCGCCCTTAGTTTCAACTTGTTGGCCTTGGTCTCAGATGATCTTGCACCGCCCTTGGCTGCAGTTGTGGTGACACGTGGTTGCAGTTATGGTGACACGGCTCGCGGCGCCCTCGGTTTGACTTTGGCGGCCTTGATTGCTCGTTCTCTTCTACCACCCTTGGCTTCCATTTTTTCTCCTTGGTTTCAGTTTCTCTCATAGCGCCCTCGGTTTCAATTGTCGGGACACGGGTTACGGCCTCCTTGAATTCGATTTTTCCTGTTGTTTTTTAATTTCTCTCATACGCAGCCCGTGGTTTTCAATTTGGTGCGCTACTACGTAGTAAATTTGCTTTCATACCATCCTCGCTTTCGATTCGTTTCCCTTGGTATCAAATGCCCTCATACCGTCCTTGGATTCGTTGCCCTTGGTTTCACTTCATCTCATATTGCCCTTGGATGCAATTGTTCGGACACGCGCTGCGGCGTCCTTGAGTTTCTTAGCCGAACCTCGTCTTATATGTATTTTCACCACGAAGATTCAGCCGTCCCTTTCCCTTGAAGACCCGTGAGGTCGTCGTCGGAATGGGTCGGTGTACCCCCGAAATAATCGTTTTCCACGACAAGGAAAAACAAGCATTCACTCCAGAGAGACATCCGAACTCAGTGGCAATCGGCTACTAGCGAGCTAGTGAGCTCATGAGAGTAGCCCGGAATGGTCAACTACTACAAAAATGAGTGAAATTTTTCATTCAAATATGGCTCCACTCTGTCGCCACCCTCCACCCTCCAATACCCTACCCTTGCTCTACATGGCTACACGTCGGTTGGCAAAACGGAACATTTGTTTCTCCATTCATTCATTCCCACATGTGAACAAGCACAAGAACTGGAAGCGGCACTGCTCAAACGAGGCCCGTTGAATCCCCCAACAACTAACTCAGATTATCACAGAAGCCCAGCAGACTGCGACTAACGCATGCAGAGCCCTCGGCCACAAGATGATGTGGAAGTTGTTTCCCACAACGGCCAGCACACACTTTGCGCTGTCCACGCACCACTCTGGCCAATGCCCGCCGAAGGCCATAGATACCGTCAAAGAGTACTCAGATCCTAGTGCGACGTGTTTGCAACGGCGCGCGCTTTTCAAACGAGACTCAGACCCAAATGTTGCTCACAATGACCGACACTATGAAAATATTAGTCCTATCATATTCGTCAAGTTCCAGTTTCGTAGCGGGGTGCGTACGTACACAGACCATACGTATGTGTGTACCGCTCATGTACATCGTAGCTATTTGTTGCTCGGTAGCTCCATGAAACTCACTCAAATAGACGAGACCTTATGAAACGGTAACCTCAGGCCGTGATTATTGTGCATACAACAACTGCCCGCACACACAGCCCGCCCAACAGACGCCAGCACGCTTCGAGATGCCGAGGTACAGTGGCTCTCTGGTCGTGAAACGTTCGGAGGACAGGCCGCGCCATGCTCATCCGGTAGATAGTTGCGTTCCGTACGTCACCATCTACAGCAGTAGTCCGTCGATGCTGGTGAGAAGTAAAGAAAGATAAATGTGCATAACGCATCCCCCGGCTCCCTCTCAGTCTGACTTCCCCGCATGCCTGCCAGAACCGATTGTGCACATCAAGACGGCCAGCCACATTATGATACTGAGACTGGCCGCTAGTTTGGGCACCGCCGGCTGTTCATTCAACCGTGAAAGATGTGCTGCAAGTTTGTGCATGGCCTGCTATCTGCCAATTCATCTCAACACTCGAAAAGAGTGAAGCACGAGGTGAAGCACGGAACCGCTCATCATTTTCCGCTTGGCCCCCTCATCGCGTTTGCTCGAGGCTCAAGAGAAAAGGGGCTGTCGTCTGGAACTTACAGGGGGGAAGGCGATACGACTACACATTGCTACACGTAACGCCAGCGCCAATGGTTGTCAAGCAACAACAAATACAGTCTACAACTGCCGTAGCAGGGGACATGAACGAACTCTCCCACAGTAACAGCAGTCAATCATGAAGCAGTCAACGTCCCGCATGCCAACGAGCACCGCGAACGAGCTCTTCCGCGGCCCTGTGATGGTGATGTTTTTCGTTGAGTCATTCATGTCACGATAGAGGTTTGTGTACATAGCTCGTTGTGATCCAGCTTCTCGTGTTCGGCGTTCTCCAGATGAGGAACCCCAGAATTCGTCGTCGCATTCTCGCAGAAAAAAAATCTTAAGATTGTGGGCTGGGGTTTTCTGTACATCGAAGCTACTTGACCGATTAGCTTCAGCCGTGGCAACGCCCGCCAATATAATAGTGCCCACTTGTAGCATGTAGACTCACCTGTACACGGCCCGCAAGACCACTCCACGTTTTCCAACCGTGGTTCTCAGGACCGTTGACATGCGTTTCAGCGTTGGCCCAGCTGTCGTCGGTTTCATTCTGCTTGAAGCCGCCCCAACGGCATGGCCGATGGGGGTGTCACTACTCCGCCACAGCCACGAGACCGCGTGTACTGCCTCAATTTGAGACAGCAAGCGGTGGATAGCTTTCAGACTGCGTAGCTGTTCCTCCGTGGCATTCTTCCCTCCTACTTTGTTTTGGCGGAGGCTGCGAGTTGCGAAACCAAGCGGTGTGTCTCGGGAAGTTGTCCATTCCCCGGATCTTGTGACTAGCACGGTCGATTTCGTGTCCGCTCCGTCGTCAATAAGAAACCGCGCAATCCTGGGAGACGATGACCCGCAAGCCTCAATAGTACAGACCAGAGGCGTCCTGCCGAACGGGTCGAGAGTGTTGTTCACATACCAAGTACCTCCGCCCGCTTGGTGCTGTAGCAAGAACTTCACCGACTCCTCTCGGCTGTACTCGGCGGCAACAACGAGGGCTCGGCCGGTGTCTACCACCCCACCGACCGTTAGTATGCCCATGATGTCGACGTACTGCTCTGTGGCAGCTAGGCGGAGAGATTCCACACCGGCGCTCACGCCGCCACATCCCCGGACCCCGAGCTGCTGGATCAACTCGCGCACCACCTCCGAGTGCCCGTGCTGCACCGCCACATCCAACGGGACAAAGGTTGCCCCCGATGGAGCCGGCACTGAAGCCAACAGGGGGCGTTGGCTTGCTTCTGGAGCAGCTCCCTGACCGCGTCCACGTAGCCACCCAGCGCCGCGGAGAAAAGCGGCGTCGCTCCGTCGGACCTGCGGCTGTTGGGGTTAGCGCCTGCCTCGAGCAGCACTCTCATCACCCCAGAGTGCCCCCCCTGCGCAGCAACGTGAAGCGGCGTGGAGCCGTCGATGTCCGCGCTCTCCTCCAGGTTGGCACGAGCCCTCACGAGCATCTTCGCGATGGCCTGCTGTCCACTTTGAGCGGAAGCCAGAAGAGCAGTGAAGCCGCCATCGCCCGCGACTGACACGTTGGCCCCCTTCTCTAAGAGGCTCTTTGCAACGAGGGAATGGCCTTTCTCTGTGGCCAACATGAGAGGGGTCCATCCCTTCGGGTTGCCTTGGTTGATATCGACAGATCCCGTAGAAAGGAGAGCGTCGACGCGATCGGCAGACCCGTGGTAAGCAGCCTTGTGGAGCTGGTTCGTAGGCCCCCGGGGCCAAAGCTGCGAAGTAGACACCGCGAGCATTTCGTCTTGTGATTTGTAGAGCAGAAGGTTGGGAGACTGTTGGGTTGCACGGCGGTGGCACATGCATGAGGCTACGCGAACGGGGCCCCGGTGAAGAGTGACATGGGAGGGAGGGGTGCTATCATATGTGTACGGTAGATTGGGCTCCCAATATCACTGTACATGTGTAGGTTACACACACCGTGTTAGGATGATCCGAACTGGGGGTAGCTTGTCGCAAGACGTGTGTTGAATAGGGTGTCGGCAACTCGGCGAACTCGCGCCAAGGAGGAAAGATGTGCTGGGCTTGTTGTATAGACTTCTTCTTCACATGAAAAACATGGACTCACATGAACACATGAACATATGAAGACATGACATGAACAGACATGGACTGCACGCACGCGTGCACGCACCACCATGAGGGGGCGACGCAGTATACAACAGGGGTACCTTGCACACCCTGGAAATACATTCCACGTACCACACAATCCTACAACCACTTGGCATTGCTACAAGTATATCTATCAGCCCCCCTGCTTGTGACCATGCCATGTCTTTTTCGATCCTCAAGAACTCCAAAACACAAGAAAATAAACTCAGAAACTCAACTCAGCTCCAGAACAATAGCCTCACTGGCTAGACATCAATACCCATCCCCGGTCATATCAGATATTCTTCTTCGAGCTTCAGTGAACTAATTGCCCCCCAGCCTAGAACACCATCCATTGAGAAAAACCATAGGCAAAAATGCAAAATGTTGCCACCCTAGTTGTTTGATCACACACAAAATAAACCCAAACATCAAAATATTAATCCATACTCATTACGAAGTTACGATGAAACTCGAAATTTCCCACGTTAAGTGCCTTCGTGAGGAAGTCAGCATGTTGATACGCCGATTCCACGTGAAAAATCGAAATCTCCTTCCTGCGTACCAAATCCCTGATAAAGTGGTGCCTTACGTCGATGTGCTTCGAGTTACTGTTGCTAATTGGGTTCTGTGCCAACTGAATAGCCCCCTGGTTATCCTCGAACACCGGAATACACGGCATACCGGCTTCTGGCAACATGAAACGCCATACTTGCCTCAGAAACAACACTTCCTTCATCACATCCGCAAGGGAGACATACTCCGCCTCTGTCGTGCTCAACGTAACGCACTTCTGCGTCCTTGAAAACCAAGAAATACATCCCCCCCCACACATCACCAACCCTCCTGACACAGACCTCCTATCGGCAGCCTTACTTGCATAGTCTGCGTCTGCGAACACCTCCATGCTCAACCCTGCTACACTACCCCTCCTGAATGTAATACCCAAGTCACTAGTCCTTACCACATACCCCAAAATACCAAGACCTGCTCTCCAATGAATCTCTTTGGAAGAAGCACAGTACCGTGCTACCGCTCTCACTGCGTTCGTGATATCTGGCCTCGTTTGCGTTGCCAGCCACATCAATGATCCTATCAGCTCACGAAAAGGCCTTGATACCACTTCTTCATCTTGGTCAAACTCTGAAAGCTTCAACCCTACAGGAAGAGGAATTTCCTTCCCGTACTCTACCCCAAACTCCATCCCCAACTCTTCAGCGTACGTCTGCTTCGAGGTCTTCAAAGTCCCTGCATCCCAATTTTCCAAGAATAAAATCTCCTCTACCACCTGCTCCCTCAGGTTGTGATCGCTGTTCACAACCAAACATCCTGTGAAAACCCCGAAAATAAAATCCTACTCGTTCAGGCTCGACCTCTTACTCAAAAAGACCAAACACAAAGCCGAAGCACCACAAACCAAAGCCAAAACAATGAGAACACGAAATAAGAAAAGTCACACCATTGGTCACACGAAGTATTTTTGCCGGCCCATCAACCCCAGCGCTTTCATCCATCCCTCCTGCCTCCTGCCACTGCTTCTTCCCCGCGGTAGCCACCCTCGCCTCTGCCGCGGCCACCCTTTTCTGCTGGCATGGCCGCGGCTCGGGCTTCATCAGGTGCCACGTATCCGCCTGGGTGGGGTGGGTGCAGCTGTCTCTCCGGGGGGATTGACTCGGCAGTGCAGGGGAGATTGCGCATCCGAAAGGGAAAGGCACAGGCAAATCAGTCACCCAAAGCGTCAATTTAGCACGTGGCACTGCTGGGGAGAATACCTTGCAATACGCCCCCTGTTCTGCGCAGCAGTGATCGTTGTCTTTCACATTCTGTACGACATCATGGTTACCTAACAAATCGAACGCCAATCTACGACTGAGGTTAATTACTCCTCTTTCGTAAAAGTGACACAACGATTCTTGCGATTTGTCTGACAAGGTTAATTATTCCTCGGTCACGCAAACAACAATGTTGGATCCATGGTAGAGCTTACACAGCTGTGTTTCTGATCAACAACCCAACACATCTTCTTACTGGTGTGCAACCACTCCGCTGCTTTCGTGCATACAGTGTTCTGGTACGAAATGGAGATCATCTCCATGTAGTCCTGTCGGTTACACAGACCCCTGACCAAATTTCCAAGTGTATCCCCCTACAACTCCTACCGCTGGACATGCAACAGACTCCTGTTCATAACACGCAACTCATTGTCGGTAGAGGGTGCAAAGATTCATGACGCCTTCGCATATCCCGTTATCGACGTGAACGCAAAAATAATGAGTCGGAGATCAATCTCTGTATTTTAACACAAGAGGGACAAAATATTCCCATCAACTTCAAAGCACTCAAGAAGGTATATGCAGCAGCTAGCTTGGTTAGGATTCGCTGACACTCTCATCTATTCTTTCAGTTTCTGTGGGTGACTGGCAACCTTACGTGGCGTAGTAGCCATACAACCTCGCAGTTTTGTGGGTGACTGGCAACCTTACGTGACGCAATATCCATTTAACCTCGCAGTTTTGTGTGGGTGACTGGCAACCTTGCGTGACGCAATATCAATTTAACCTCGCAGTTTTGTGTGGGTGACTGGCAACCTTACGTGACTCAATATCCATTCAACCTCGCAGTTTTGTGTGGATCACTGGCAACCTTATCAAGAATAGAACGCCCTTTGATGGGGTCTACTGCTGTACCTCTCAGGAAAAACATGTGCAAGATGATGACGCGTATGTATGCAGAACTCAACAAGGTGTGCTGTAGGTTTATCGGAGCACACCCAAACGAAATCGACGAAATCAAGCATGCGAGCACATACCAAAACCACTTCAGACGTAAAACGGTGAGCAGATCATCACGTGCCTGAGCGGATCTACGACCTTAGTAGGCGCATGCTGATGGTGTTGCTGCTCGGCATCTCCAGTGTTATAACAACATTCGAAATTGGCTCTCAAAAACCTGTACTCCAACCTGGACATCGCCACTAGAATCAAACACACCCGTAAATGGGGCTACATGTATTATTACATACAGGACTGACACGGATGGTGTCCTTAGGGGGTAAGACTTCCCTGGTTTCCTCCCCCGGGGTGTTGGTCCTTCGCATTGCCCGCGCGAAGGACTCAACGAGACGGTCCTCCAACGATCGTGGCTGGTCTTCAGGTTGCGGGTCTAACGCTGTTCCAGCCGGCCGAGCATGCCGGGGATCTATTCGATATACTCGTAGCATAGCATGGGGGTGGTATATTGCGTATACATATGCGGGGATTGCAGTGACGAACTACGGAGGGACAAGAAGTTTCTTTGTGTTTTCCTTGGGAGTGTAGTAGATTGGTGGAGATTCATGGAGATTCGTTCTGGGTATTAAAGCGTTATGCGTGACTTGATGCCGTGATGGAATGACGAGCTCAAGCACGCCCCCGATGAATACAACACGTTTTTCACCACGTCTACACGTCTTTACCTACCCGTGCGGCCCGTCATGGCCGAGCTGCTCTACGCTCCCATCACACACAACTGAGCCACCCGAATTATCGATCACGCTAGCGTATGACACGTCGTCTACGAGATTCGAGTCGAGCTTAGTTTGGAGTATCGCTTTGCGGCGATCAGCAGCAGCCACCGATGAGCGACACCGAGCAAGATCGAGTGAGCGCCCGACTAGCAGAGGAGGAAGCCCGGATCAACTACTTGGTCGAACAGAGGGTAGAAGCAAGACTGGCCGAGATGTCGAGGCAAGAAGCAGAGGAGCGGAGGACAGATGACGTCCGGACCGGAAGAGAGCACGAGGATCGCCACCAGCAACACGCGGGGCGGCCATCGGCCAACCCGACGACCGACGAAATCGCCCGCACACTCGCCGACGCCCTCACCGGTCGACTTCACGTCTCATCAGGGGACATGGGTAGAGTACCCATTAACGCAGGGACGGTTCGAATGACTGAGACTAAGCGCCTAGCGCCTTGGGATGGTGTTTTCAAGCAAGGGGAGGATGAGCAGGCCAAGTTTTTTATTTTTCGATCGAACATGGTAGCTATGTTTGCCCAGGAAGGAGTGCGTGACGTAGTACTGACTGAAGAAAAAATTCCAGTTGGGAAAGAAGGCGTGAGCATGGAGGAGATGCGTAGGGTGCATTCGAGTGGAAGGGTAGAAAAGGCAATAACGGCGTGGAACCTGCTGATCACGACAGTGACATACATGCCAATCCTAACCCAGATCATCGCCGATGGGAGCCCTAGTGGAGGTTGGAAGATATTCCTCAATTATTACGAGCCGCGTGCCAGGGCCGAAAAAGAAAGGCTGTCATCTCAATATCACGCTCTTGAGATGAAAGTAGGGGAGACCCGCAAGAGTACTTCGGGAGATTTGCTGTTTTGCGCAGTAGGCTCGCCTCGCACGGTGTTGTTTTCTCCGACGATGATGCCAATGCCCACATGGTATACCACCTTTCCGACGAGTACTCGGTAGAGAAGAAGATTCTGACCATGTCACCGATTCCCCCCTCGCGCGAGACAATTGAAAAGGCTGTGCGAGATGCTCATGCGGACTCGGTTCGCCGTCGGGAGGGGGAACCGAAGAATGGCGCGGGGCACGCGTTCGTCGCTTCCGGTGGCATCCGGGGCGATGGACGTGTCCGAAATGGATCGAGTGGAAACGGCGGGGGTCAGGACGTAGACGGAGGCGCCCGGAGTCGGAGCAGGAGCAGGGTGAGAGGAAACAAGAAAGGCGGAGGTGAGAGAGGAGCCGACAACGACCACTGCTACCTACATCCGCGCTTGTTCCACACCAACGCCCAGTGCAACACCCAGCGCGACCGTCGGAAGGAGCAGGAGCAGCAGCAGCTCTAACAGCAGCAGTCTCAGCAACAGC